AGTGGTTTCTTAAAAACCGTGAGATAAAAACACTTCCCAAGAGGCAGACAATACTTTTCATCCCTACTTAGGGTCGGCGAAAAAAGAATCTTTTTGCTCCTCTCGTGTTCCACCTCTTTTACTTCCTAAAAGGAAAAGAAAAACTCATCCATTGTTTTTCTGGGGAAAATCACCCTTAAATATAGAGACAAAGGAGGTATCAAATTTCTGTAAACTCAATACACAAAATATAATTAAAAAAAAAGCTCCTCATCAAAAGCAGAAGAAGAATGTCCTGAAATGCATCAAATTATTTATAATATTATTTCCAGACAAAATAAATTATTTTAGTGAGTTTTACTTTTCTTTTTTAATTTTTGAATATAGGCATCTATCATGACTGGACAAGTTGTGATGGAGTCAATCCACACTACGAACTACAGGCCAAGTTATTAGACACACTACAACAGGGGTGGCGAACCTTTATACATCAACGTGCCATTTTTCTAAAAAAATTTTTTAATGAGGTCATAGACGTGCCGTCAAATAATTTTGACTTCGTGATTATAGGGAAAATAATAATACTAAACACTATCAACTCAAAACTATTTATTTACATAAAATACATTTTGCAATGTTTCAGTTATACGCATAATTCAACTTAAAGTAACCTCAGTGTGACTTCTGTTGATGCAGATTAGATGACAAATAACTTATATTAGGTTGTAAGATGTTAGTTTAAGCAGGACTGTTAAATTATTTATTGTTAGCTTGTTTTTTATGGTTATTAATTGTTTTTTTAGCATTAATTGTCAATTTTTTTTATTAATAATTGCTTATTATTTTGTTTGTTTTTCGTGAATTTTAATTTAATTGTTACATATGCTTCAATTGTGATAGGTGGCGTGCCCAAAATATTGTGTCGAGTGCCATAAATGGCACGCGTGCCATTGGTTCGCCATCCCTGCACTACAAGATTCTATCTAAAATCTGAATTATCATATACAGCTTTATTGTTTTTAAGAGGCTGAAACTGGTTTACACTTGCTTATGTTTATTGGTTAGTTGGTTAACATAGTAATCCAACGCTCAAACTAAATATATAAAATATACATAAAAAATATCCTCCATAAAATCTCATTACATGCATGTTTAAATATAAAACTATTGCCTATAAACTCGTGCAAAACATGTCATTATTAAAAGACGTCAGCGCTTCTGATAATTGGGTCTAATTATTATAATATACTAATATAATGTTTGATATAATAAATATTCTATGCTTATCCCGCAGTTATGTTTATTATAAATATGTCCCGCAGTGGACTGATCGTTAAGACACGGTTCCCAGCAGATCACCGAAGTCAAGCATCACTGGCTACGGTCAGTGTGCGGGTGGGTGACCACTTGGGTCAGTCTGCGTAGGCACCGAGGGTGTGCGGTATGGGTCCTCGTTAAACTGTGCTACCGTAAAGTGCTCGACTTCGCGCGAAACGGGGGTGCCATCCCCTCCGCAGAGGATCAAAATTGTGATGGCCTGTCTTCGGATCATCCTCCGGGATGTTTCCCAGACCGTCGCCAATAGCCCATTGTGCAGCTCTAGTGCGACGTAAATTAACAACAACAACAGCTTATATAATATATCGTCTCAATTATCCAATCGTCAGATTTATATTATATATCGTCAAATTTATTTAATTAATACACGAACGTAAACGAGTGAAAACCGGTTTTAGTCTCATTAAAAACAATCAGGCTGTATAGAGTATCGCCTGATAATGAAGATTTTACATAGAATCTTAAAGTGCGTCTAATATTTTGGCTGGAGACAGTATAATGAAGAATCTCCATCTAAACACAGAAAGAAAAGATGTAGATGAAAGACCAGTTACGTTAAGAAAAAACCTCTTGTCTGTTATAGTTAGCATTATTTGCGCTTTTCCAGGTTGCTGCTCTCATCAGATGGGTTATCATTTTTTAAAAATATTTAAATTTTAATAATAAATTACTTGTAATAGCTTTTTAAAAGGTTTTTTTTTTTGCAATTTGTATTGAATTTACAGTTGACAAATTACGTTAGCTTAGAGAAAAAAAAGTGAAAAGAAAAGAAAGAACAGAAATTTTTACCCGCAATAAGAATTATAAGAATTTATAGAGAATACATAACACTATATTTCGTTTTGAAATTTCTTTTCATATTTAAAATATGAATAAAGAAAACATAAATGTGATAACGAAAATGCTTTTCGAGACAGAAAGCTAAAAAATGAGCAATGACAGAACTTATAATCTATCTAAAACATTAAACATAATATAAAAGAATTTCACTTAAAACTATCTGTAGCTGTTAAAATAAGAAAACATTAATTACAAATAAACAACACTTTTAATAGAAAAATGAATAAACAAACAATGAAAAAATATATAAAATAAAATAAAGCCAATAAAAATCAAGTAAAGTCTACATTATTTTTCATGTTCGATAAGTATAACAAATTTATTTTTAAATGTGAGTTAGAGAAGGTAAACTTGGAGTTTTAAAGGTGCTACCATGAATAACCGACTGTCGACTTTCACCGAATGTCGACATAGTCGCTTCGATGAATGTCTGAAATATTTGTTATATCCTATTTAACATTCGTCGATATTATTATATTTATTAAAGTTTTGAATGTCTGCTGAGGGTAGTTTAGAAGAGACATCAGTTTTCGGAGTACCGGTTAAGTGCATACTAGGTAGTGATACTTGACCTTAAAAATCATTGATGTAGGGCATACCGGGCAAATGCATCCCTGTCCTGTCCCTGCTCCCTTGCCACACGAATTCTCCCCCTCTTCAGTGGGCGTAATTCTTAATCAATCTTCAACTGTCAAAATCGGAGAAGAAAAATCGGAGGGGTGAAGAACTGAGATGAAGCTTGGAGAGGGGTGCTACAGGATTATCCTTTATTGCCTCTTATTTGCAAATTATTTATAACGAGCTGATTATAATGCTGATTAGTAGAGTTGTTTTAAATGGTGTTTTAAAAATCATACATTTCCATGAATTAAAACTTAATGTTAGTTAATAATTTTAGTTTGCAGTTATTTAATTAAATTTATGATATGCTATTAATGTTCAGTTATTAATTTCTTATAAAGTTTGCGTAATGATTCTTAAATATAAGTTCTCAAAGGTTTTAATGTTGGCACTTAACTGGATCTAGTATATATTTCGGACATTTACCAAAGCGACTACGTGATTTGTCAACATTCATCGGTGGAAGTCAACAACCACCCATTTTGGTATATAATATTTATATTGATCACTAGTTATGGTTCTATATTACTTTCTAATTACTATATTACTTACTAAATTACTTTCTTTCTTACAGAAATATTCAGTATTAATTTAATTATTCTGAAATGCTTATAAATTAAGTTGCGATTACATTTTTCTTGATAATATGAACATTCCAAATTCTAAATGTTACGCTCATTCAGACGATTACGATGCAAATCATTAACTATGTATGGAATGGCAACGCCGGGTGAGTTGTTTTGACTTTTTCGTATGGGTCTTGCATTTTTAACGACAAAAAAGACGTTTATGGAGGCAATTTCACTAATGAGGTTAGGACACGCCCCTCTGATGCATGCATTTCAAGCACCTAAACATCGTTCGTAAAGTCGACTTGTTGTTGTCAATAGAAATGTCTCCACCGGAGAATTTCGACGAGAAAAACTCGGAGGAGGAAGACGAAGAAAATCTGAAATCTCTTACCTTCAATCTTTTGACGAGATCTTCGGTCTATGCTGTGTCTCAATTAGTCGTCTCCATCGGCTGTGGTCGTAAAATTCTTTGGTTTCTGGTCCTTCTGATCGGTCTAGTGGGGTGCTCTTACGAAATTTATCATTTCCTGACGCTGTACTTTCAGTACCCTGTGGTAATCACTTTAGAAATCGAAAATAGTTGGAAACTCTATTTTCCTGCTGTTACATTCTGTAATCTGAATAGGTAAGGATATAAACAAGCTGTTTTAAAAGTGAAAAATCTGGGGTTCTTTTTTTAATAATTCATCATTATAATCATTTTTATATAAATACTTATTTTTTTTATTATTTTCTTTAATGCATATTATTTTATATTTCATAACCGTCGTTGAACAGCAGACCCAATTTTTGGGTTTACTACTTCTAGTGTTAATCTCCGTAGCCTTGTTATTTTGAACCCAATCTAGGAGACGGGGTAACTCCTGGATCAAGTATTGGGAGAAATTTTGCCTTCATGGAGGACTTTTTTGAAGGAACTAACTCGCATTTGCTTTCCACGGAGAAGAAGACCACGAGAACATCCCTAGGTTAGCCTGACGGCAAAGGGACTCTAACCCGAGATCCATCTACCACTGACGGTATTTTACATCAGCACTGTGGTGGGTGCAAGCCGGATATGGGTTCATATCGAACAGCCAAAGCTGGGAATCGAACCCGGTTCACCTCATTAGAAGGCGAACGCTCTATCCCCTGAGCCATCACGGCTCTTTAATGCATATTAAGTGAGAAATAATAAGAGTTCATCTTGTTTTTATTACTGATATAAAATTCAATAAAGGAAAACGAAATGGTTGAATACGTAACTTAAAGTTCCAATTTATACAAAAGACTATGTTAACTATAGAAGATTCATTTTTAGTCCGTATGAGTTTATTTGTTGGTAAAAGGAAAAAGGCTTAAGTCTTCTTAAAGTGGAAACGTAAAAAAAAAAAGAAAAAAGAAACATAATTTATCCACAACACTCACCACTTCTGCTCTTTAAGCTTTTTTGTAAACATTTCCCGCGTTGCTAAGTCACTATTCAAGAACTTCTTCAAACTTTAGACAATTTACTTCTGAAATACTAAAAATATTGAAAAAATCCATCTTAAAAAAAAGCTCTACTGGACTCATTTGCTGATGAGATGAGTCACATATTTTATTTTTTTTTATTTCGTAATTTTGACAAAATGTGTCACCTAAGTCGTGATGGCTCAGAGGATAAAGCGTTTGCCTTCCAATGAGGGGAACGGGGATCGAATCCCAGCTTTGGCGGGTCGATCAAAATTCCGCACTTGGCTACCACAGTGCTGATGTTAAAATATCCTCAGTGATAGACGGATCATGGGTTTGAATTCCTTTGCCGTCAAGGTAACCAAGGGAGGTTCTCGTGGCTTCGCTCTCCATGTAACTCAAATGCTGGTCAGTTCCATCAAAAAAATGGCTATATGGGGCACTACAAAAAATGAAATTTTTTTACGATTTCTTTAAAAAATATATTTATAGAAGTTATATCCTTAAACAGTTGACGCATAAAACGTAATGCTTAAATAACATGTAGTGTTATTAATTAAATATTATACTTTGGTTCCAAGCATAAAACGCGTCTTTCTTGAAATTACATAGTTCAAAATGGTTCTACAAATATCTTAAAATTATTTCAAAACTTATTTCGAAAAATGAATTTATTTTTAAATACTATTCTTATTTTAATCAATAAATATTCATTTGAAAGAGAGAAAGACCATTTTTTTACGATCAAATACGAAGGTAATTTATTATAACAAACAAGTCAAAAAACACTTAATTTACTATGGTTTTTCTATAGAAAATTTTGAGCGACGTGGTGGCTCAGAGGATGGAGCACTCGCTCTCCAATGACGACCCGGATTCGATCCCAGAGATAGCTGATTCGTATTCTGCACCCAGCTCACTCCGACCACAGTGCTGTTGTAAAATATCCTCAGTGGTCGATGGAAAATGGGTTAGAGTCCCCTTGCCGTCAGACTAACTGTGGGAGGATTTCGTGGTCTTCCTCTCCATGTACCGCAAATACGGGTTAGTTCTATCGAAATTTCTCCATGAAGGCAGATTTTTCCCAATACTTGTTCCGGGAGTTCCCTTGTCTTTTGGGTTGGGTTCAAAATTACGAGGCTACGAAGATGAACATTAGTAGTCGTTAGCCCAAACTTGGAACGGTGGTTATAAAATAAAATAAATTGGTAAATTGAATACATGCTGCTGATATATTATAAATTGCATTGTTTTTGCATTAGATCTATTAGATGCAATGTAAGTATATTTATTTTTAACCCAGTTTCTGCGCTATTTATATATTAGATGTAATGTTCAATATGGATACTATACTCTTGAAACTTTCTGCACATCATAATTTGTCAATCGGTAGTTTCAACACGCTATTTTTTGTTAAAAAAATTATTTATTATATAATATTGTAGAGTAGGCCTGGATAACCTGGTTGGTAGGGCGCTAGACACCTGTACGTGAGAACAGGAGTTCGAGTCCATTCGGCCAAAGTAGTAAATGGTGACTGTTGATAGTTAAATCTGTTGGGTCACGAAGTCCTCCATGTTTTCGTAACAAATTACGGCTCTGATGGTACTGAATTGAACATTGATCGTTCTCTGTTTCAGGTCAAAATTACGATATGTGAATGAATGAATAATAGTATGAATACGCCCACCCTATAAACGGGTGGGACGTATGGGTGTGGGAAAAGTTAAAATTTTGTCCATAGATGGCGCCACTTAAAAAAAAGAACAATGAATGATTTTTTTTTGTTTAATTTTATCTCAGTAATTATCGACTTAAAATGTATTTGAAATCAAATATCGTTTTCAGAGAACCTTCTGAGTATCACAAGTGCCTTTTTCGAGGCAAAACAGTCGAAGAGTGCGTTGAAGAAATCTGTGATCCAACAAAAAACTTAGAACGTATATCGAATAATGCAATGGTAAGTAAAGAGGCATTTTGTAATTTATAAATAATTAACTTCCATTTTTTTCAGCTCCAATAAAAATTCAAAATTGTTCATGCTAATTTAAAGTGTGAATGTTTGAACTATTTTTTTCTTTTTTTTTTTGCTTGAAAAAATTCAATCGATCTACTAAAATTTTAAAACATGTACATTATTAGACGCACTGTAAGATTCTATGTAAAATGATAATTCTCAAGTGATACTACACATCTGCATTGTTTTTACTCAGATGAAACCGGTTTGCATTTGTTTACTCTCCTGTGTCAATGGGTTAACATTGTAATGCAATACGTTAAAAATAAATACAAATAGGAAGTCTATAAAAAATCTCTCAATTTTTTCAAGTTTTAAAAGCTTGGTTTTCAAAGCAAACCATATAATTTTGTACAACAAACTTCGATAGTCGGGAAGGGCTAGCAAATGGTGCACAGCCACTGATTTTTAAAACTTCAATTAGAATTACAAAATATTTAATTGAATTTATTAAATTTTGTCTCTCAAATTTTAAGATTTTTTTTAAAAATGAATAAAAGTTGTTTCAAATGATGAGATTAAAATGTATGCATTTTCCGCTGCTGTCGAAATAATTTTTCTAAACAAAATACGCTTTTGTATTACATTCTAGTAAAAAACGTGCTAAAAATTTCAGGAAGATCGAAACTCCTGTTCGTATCACTTTGATGGATTATTGAAATCAACTGATTTGTTTTCTTTTAATTCGAGTACTGATGAGGATGAAATTCCCTCTTTCGTCATCAGTTGTGCTTTTAACGGAGTTCCCTGTACCCACAAGTAAGCATTTTATTATTATTATTTCATTTTACTATCGCAAATTGTGTGCTCACCTCACCAATCCCCCCCCATGGTTGTCCATCAAACAATTGAGCCGCTCAGAAGCCAATGCGGTTAAGTCCATTTTTTGATATTTTCTGACTTTTGGAAATTTTGATGAAATAAATAATAATCTTCTTAGTTATTAAAGGATTTACTCGTTGGTTACTTTTTTCTACGTCAGACAGCCCTTTTTTTAATAGCTTCTGAATATATTGTATAATAATTTCAGAAGCCATTGTGAATAAGTCCACCTTTTATCAATATTTTTTTACATAAGCTTTGAAATTAAAATTAAATTCTTCTTTCGATATTTGTTGGTAACACTGAAAAACAAGAAATTCATAGTAACTTCAGGGTTGCCAGACGTAGTATTTTTAATACTACGGTAGTATTTTTTCACCAAAAAAAGGGGTATGGTATTTTTCGTAGTATTTTTTTAAAATGTGGTATTTTTAGTTTTTTTTTTATTTATTTGTTTTATTTTCATTTCCTAAAACAAAGAAAAGCGCCACTCTAGTTTTGAAGTAAAAAACAATTTTTGAAATAATCCAACAGTTTATTTTCTATTAGTCACTGTATCTAGTGATTGTGAAAAATAAAAGTTCGTTTATACTAGTAGACTATATATATTTCTTATCTTTTTCAGCTGCCAAAAGGTATAAGTCCTAAAATTTTTAAGATGCTGTCATTATTTCAATAAATACTTACGTTTTTATTTACACATCCTGTACATATCTTGTTTTTTTGCAGAGTTTACACCTCGAAAAAAGAGTTTATACACTTTTCTAATTAAATTAATAAACCAGGAATTTTAAAAACTAATGTATCAAAAAACATTAATTTTCTCAATTGTTGTGTTTTGGACTTAACCGCATTGGCTTCTGAGCGACTCAATTAATACTTATACGATGAATATTTCTTTTACATATTTGTAGACTTTGTAGTAAATGAAGTTTTTCAATCAGGTAATATCCATTCATTTGCTTTTAATTGAAGTACACTAAATGTAACCTCTTCATTATTTTAATAATATTTTAAAGCTATAATAATCACAATTAAAGTTGAAACAACTGTAGATATTTTTTTCTTCTTTATAAATTGAAAAGTTTAGACTTCTTTAAATATTTGATGAGTCACTTATAGCATATTTTTTTAATATCTTATCCATAATATTTATCACGTAACTTTCAGAAATTTTTCAAAGTTTTTAAGCTTTGAATTCGGCAACTGCTTCACATTTAATCAAAAAGAGGATCGTGGAACGCAAGTGTTGCAGACACCTTACATTGGACCCAACAGTGGTAAGTGGTTAATATGACGTATTTAAAGAAAAGTAGATTTAAGCCTTACTTTACAAGAATATGAGTTCTTACTCAATCGGAATTGGTTACAAGTCTTTAACACTAAACATACCAACACTTAATGTATATCTATTTCTACCATAGCGGGTCAAATGATTTTACTTTATGTTTGTTGAATTGAAAGCATGAAATAAATGTGTTATGAAGGAATTAAACTAAAATAACTTTACTATAACGAAACGAAATTGTATATTGACCATTTTTATTTATTACAAACACAAAGAATAAGCATTTTTAATTAATTGCTCAACGCATTTTTTACATATACAGTTTGTTTCCATTGCACATTTTCTGCAAACATACTTCTTCTACTTATTATTATTTCCATAATTCTTAAATTGTTCTTATAGTTATAAGAATATATGAGAACTATAATTGTCCCTTTTTCTTACAGAAAAATGTCGATCTGAAATTTTAGGTTTTGTTTTGAAATTTGAATTTGCAGTTATTCTGATTGAACTCACTGCGTAACTGTCATACTGTAAAAATGTGCAACTCATCGAATGCAATACGTTGAACATGCATTACATCGTCATTTCTGATCCGACAACCTTATAAAGCAATAAATTGTTCTCCCGATCAAATGACAGGTTGTGGTAAAAATAGGTATACGACAAGTATTATTCGAAACAAACAAAATACAAAAAATAATAATAATAAAATATTAACTGTATATAATTGTTTAAAAAAAGTCATGAAGTCAAATGTGTAAAAACGATAAGATGATCAGCGCATTTTCGATGCAAAAGTTCTTAAACAGTCATTTGACCGGCATGTTTAGTGTTAATCATATTTTCCAGACTCTGTCACGTTGACTTGATTTCTAAGATGAAAAAAACATCACTTTAGAATTGATCCAAGGATTATTAATGATTAAATAAATCAATAAATAATTATGATATAAGTATTTCTGAAATTTGTTAAAAAAATTATTGAAGATCGAAGGCAGTACTAAAATGTTTAAATTATCAAAATCCTGTTTTATAGTTTTATTTGGCTAGAATGTATCTGCTTTCAATTCATTTCAAAATACAATGGATTTAAATTGTTTTAATTCCTCTTTTGCTATTCAAAGCCTTGGTAATCTCTCGTCATAGTCTGAAGATGCATTTCATTTTTTTTCTCGATAAAAGTGAATTTAGGATCCTTTTTTTTATTCGATTTTTACGGAAGTAGGGCGCTTGTTGCAAATACATTTAGTCCCTGAATACATTAGTTTCCAATAAATAATCTGGATCTAATTTCCGATAAATAATCATTTCTAGTAAAAAAAAAGTTTCAAAATGTTAACAAGCTTGAATAATTAAAAGAAATGAATATATTTGCTTGCCTTGTTCAGTTATTTGTGATTCTTATTTAAAGATATCCAACATTGAACTGATTTAGGAAAGGTAAATAAATAGGGATTTTTTAAAAACTAAATCAAATTGTTAACTCCAGTTTTTTAAAGATTTCTTTGCCAATGAGAAAAAGTTAGCAGTCATTTACTGCCAAAAAGAAAACTCAAAATATTCGTTCAACAGAATGCTGGGTGCCAAGTAATTCGTGGTCTGTTCGAACAATGAACCTAACAATGTCGTCATTACTAAGACTCAATGTAATAAGATTGATACAGAATGCTGGGTGACAAGTAATTCACGGTCTGTTCGAACAATGAACCTAACAATGTCGTCATTACTAAGGCTCAATGTAATAAGATTGATACAGAATGCTGGGTGACAAGTAATTCATGGTCTGTTCGAACAATGAACCTAACAATGTCGTCATTACTAAGTCTCAATGTAATAAGATTGATACAGAATGCTGGGTGCCAAGTAATTCACGATCTGTTCGGACAATGAACCTAACAATGTCGTCACTATTAAGACTCCCCTCAATATGTTAAAACTCCATGATTTTATAATCAACGGTATGATTGTAACTATGGGATTAGAAGCATTGTGAAAAATGCCATATTTACTTCAAAAACACGTTAAAACAGGAAACTAAAATCATAAAATCGTCATTTGAAACTTTCAAGTGCGTCTGACTTTTTATTTCGACATATGCAGGAATAGTTTTTTGTAGTAATTTTTAAATACCCTTTCATCTGTATTGAAACATCTTTTTTTCCATCCTTGTTAGGTCTTGATGTGATGTTGAAATTAGACTTCGATGCCCACTCCCCTCTGACGATGTACACCGGAGCACGAGTCGTCATTCACGAGGCTAACGAGCAGCCTGATCCAAAATCATCAGGTTTTAATATAAGTCCCGGGTTCGAAACTTCCGTATCAGTTCAGCAGGTGTGAAGTGTTTTTTTTTTCCTGATCATAATTCCATGCTTAGAAATAACTAAGAAGGATAATGAGAAAAAATAATTTTTAACAGAATGTTGATTTTGGTAAATAACGAGTCAAAGGGAAATACGATATGAGCTATGATATAAACAAGAAAGAAAACCCATATAGAAAAATAAGGTTCATTTCCAGAAAGCAAAAACCTTTTAATGTAAACCTAAAAAGGTTTGTAATGCGGTTTACGTGTAAACCTTCTCACCTTAAAACGAGATCTGTGACCATCTGCTTTATTCTACTCACATTACCCTCATCCAAAACCTTGGAAAACAACCTTGTATATAAAAACCTTAAATCGAGGTTGACTTAGGGTTGAAAATCGAGGTTGAAAAGGTTTTTTAGTACAAATATTTTTGAGACAAAAAAAGAAAATTCCGACCCAATGTTGCCGTAAGGTTAAATGCCTTTCTGGGATGTTATGTTACCAAACGTTTTCCATGATCATTTGGTTTTTATCTTTTGGCAAGAATTATAATAAAATTTAAATCTATCTAAGAAACTGTAACTGTAAAAACATTAAAAAAAACTCTATATAAACTTTCATACATCCATTCTCAAAGCAAACTCTTATAACATTTAAAATTGCTATAAACTTATATAGCAGTTCTTAAAGATCTAATCTAAGGCATTATTAATATTTTCATTCATCTTATGAAAGAACTTATTTGCCTAAAAGGAATACGAAATATAAAAATCTTAAAAATAACAAACTAGATTTACAACTAAATAAATATTGCAATAAATTCTGTTTGAATTGGGTAAAAAATGTTTTTTATGTCAATTAAAAGGAGAGATAAGTGTTTATTCTGTTTCTTCCAGATATTGAAGTGTTGATATAACCTGAATTTAAATGCAATCATTTCACATTTGATTTTTTTTTCAAGTTTAAAACTATGTATCTCATTATCTATTAAAAATAACGAGATAAAATTTGGAATAGTTTTCATTTCCCATTATATTATTTTTATAAAATTTATATACGATTTAAGATTTTATTATGTAAATTTTGAAAAATGATACCGATACAAAATATGACCTTTTAAATTAAAGAAAATAATGTCAAAAACTCTTGAAGAAAAATCTAAATATAGACATTATTATAAAAAAATTATTATTATTATTTTAAACATACAAAAAAAAATTATAGCAATATATTTTTAATTACAATGTTTTATATGATCACCTTGGTACATAGTATTCTGCACTGGCGAGTTCGCTAACAGAATATCTATTTCGTATAAGAAATGAGATTTTTTCAGTTTTCGACGTCATTATCATATCACGGCAATTCATCAAATAAAATTTACCTGAACCTGTAACGTCAGCCTAGTTTAATTCAAATCTAATATGAATGAGGTTAAGGGATAAGGTTGCACGGGGGAAGGCTTTACTCTCCATTGATTTCTTAATACCACCTTCCTTTTTTAAAAATTCTAAACAATACCAAACAAATCTAAACAAATCTTCTAAGCAATGCCAAAACCCCGTCTCTCCTTTAAAATAAACAAAACTCTTTTCCCTTTTATAAAATATAAAACCCCATCTCCCATTTAAAAAATGCAAAACCCCGTCACCCTTCTAAACAATGCCAAAACGCCGTCTCTCTTTTAAAATATGCAAACCCCTTTTCCCTTTTATTAAATATAAAACCTCATCTCCCGTTTAAAAAAGACAAAACCCCGTCACCCTTCTAAACAATGACAAAACCCCGTCTCTCTTTTAAAATATGCAAAACTCTTTTCCCTTTTATAAAATATAAAACCCCATCTCCCTTTTAATAAATGTAAAACCCCGTCTCCCTTTTAATAAATGCAAAAGCCCTTCGTCCTAGATGAAGAATGTTTATTCATTTAAGTGAATTTGAAACTTAATACTGTTAAATTACGCCTGACAGCGATCAACTTCTGGCAAAAACAGATGGAAAACGTTGCTAAGGAGCATTTATAGTTCTCCATCTCAAAAATCCTATAGATTTTGATGAGTGCTTTGATCCATCGGCCTTGAGTCCGAAATCCGCTAATCACAGAGTTTACAAATAATGAATACATCAATTATTTCAATTTTTTAACTTTTTGTTACATATTTAATATGATATAACAATCCAGGAACATTAAAACCAATGGATGCATACTTTGAAAAATTTAAAGATTGTGTCTAATTGACATTTTAAATGTCTTGAATATTTAAACAACACTTCAAATTTTTCTTCCGGGGCATTTATAAATTTATAATGTAATAGTTCTTAATTTAAATTTTTGTTACACATTTAATACGATACAACAATCCAAGAACATTAAAACCAATTTATGCATACTTTAAGAAATTTGAAACTTGTCTCCTTCAATTAACATTTCAAAATGGATCTTTAAGGTGTCTTGATTGTTTCATAAACGCTACAAAGTTTTCTTCTGACATATAAATAGTTTTATAATGTATTAGCTCTTACAGACCCTGTTCAAATTATTAGACGCACTATAAGATTCTATGCAAAGTCTTAATTATCAGGTGATACACTATACAGCTTTATTGTTTTTACGTGACTGATTGCACTTGTTTACGTTAGTCTATCAATGGGTTAAATGAGACCATAGATAATATATATTCGACGATTGGATAAATTAGACGATATATTATATAAATATAGAATATTTCTTATATGAGGTATTCTATTATTATATTATAATAATTAGATCAAATGATTAGAAGCACTGTCCTTTTTTAATACTTACATGTTATGCACGAGTTTATGGGCAATACTTCTATATTTATACATACATGTCATGGGTTTTTATTCGGGAAATTTTTTAGATACTTCCTATTTGTATTTATTTTTAAAGTATTGCAGTACAATGTGAACCAATTAACCGGTTAACGACCAGCGTCATATATTTAGGACAGTTCCTTTTTTCAAAGACATTCATTGTGGTGGGAAACTTTTTTCAGTATTTTCATTTATCTGGGTGAATTAAAGGATTCTCAGATACCACAATGATTTAGTTATTTCTGATTAGATCTATAATTCTAAGGAACAAGTACTTTTTGATCTATCAAAGACTTTTTGAATGCCTTAACAGTAGAAAAATCAATTAATTTCGATAATATATTATACCATAATATATTATTTCGATAATATATTGATAGTATAATATATATATTATACTATCAATAATATATTTCGATAATATATTTCGACATATACTTTTTCCATAAATCATTTCAATTTAGTGTATCATTTCAATTTAGAAATTCGGGACAAAACGGGTTAATACACGAACGTAAAGAAGNTGACATTTTAAAATGCATCTTTAAGGTACTATCTTGAATGTTTAAAAAACACTTCACATTTTTCTTCTGAGGTATTTACGAATTTATAATGTATTAGTTCTTAATTTAACTTTTTGTTATACATTTAATATGATATAACAATCCAAGAACATTAAAGCCAATGGATGCATACTTTGAAAAATTTAAAGATTGTCTCCTTCATCTGACATTTTAAAATGCATCTTTAAGGTACTATCTTGAATGTTTAAGAAACACTTCACATTTTTCTTCTGAGGTATTTATGAATTTATAATGTATTAGTTCTTAATTTAACTTTTTGTTATACATTTAATATGATATAACAATCCAAGAACATTAAAACCAATGGATGCATACTTTGAAAAATTTAAAGATTGTCTCCTTCTTCTGACATTTTAAAATGCATCTTTAAGGTACTATCTTGAATGTTTAAAAAACGCTTCACATTTTTCTTCTGAGGTATTTACGAATTTATAATGTATTAGTTCTTAATTTAACTTTTTGTTATACATTTAATATGATATAACAATCCAAGAACATTAACACCAATTTATGCATACTTTAAGAAATTTGAAACTTGTCTCCTTCAATTGACATTTCAAAATGGATCTTTAAGGTGTGATTGTTTCATAAACGCTACAAAGTTTTCTTCTGGCATATAAATAGTTTTATAATGTATTAGCTCTTACAGACCCTGTTCAAATTATTAGACGCACTATAAGATTCTATGCAAAGTCTTAATTATCAGGTGATACTCTATACAGCTGTATTGTTTTTTACGAGACTGTTTGCACTTGTTTACGTTCGTGTATCAATGGGTTAAATGAGACGATATATAATATAAATTCGACGATAGGTTAAATTAGAGGATATATTACATAAATATAGAATACTCATTATATCAGGTATTATATTTGTATATTATAATAATTAGACCCAATAATTAGACGCACTGTTCTTTTTTAATACTTACATGTTATGCACGAGTTTATAGGCAATACTTTTATCTTTAAACCATACATGTAATGGGGTTTTTATTCAGGAGATTTTTTATGTACTTCCTATTTGTATTTATTTTTAACGTATTGCAGTACAATGTGAACCAATGGATACACGAACGTAAACAAGTGTAAACAGTCACATAAAAACAATAAAGCTGTATAGAGTATCACCTGATAATTAAGATTCTACATAGAATCTTAGAGTGCGTTTAATAATTTGGCCAGAGACTGTACATGTATTTCTTAGCTTTCTTTCATATTTTATCATTTCATTCTTTCAGGTTTTGCAATCTAGGTTAGCTGAACCATACAGAGATCGTTGCCATGAGTATGAAGAAGGAATTGACGGGATTATCCTGGATCAGAAAGTATGCCATCATAGTTTCTAATAATAAACTTGGGCTCTTGACCAATTTAGAGCATTAATTTATGTACAAAATGTTCCGAAATGCAACATGAGTATATTAAAAAAATGTGAGAAGAAAAACGTACTGTGTAGTTAAAATAATACCATAAATTTGAGTTTCTTTTAAAAAGTACAAACACTACTTTAAGAATTGCCTGAAACATTTTCAATTTTTTAAGATATTCAAAACGGACTTATTTTATTAGTTACCAAATACGATTTATTACGAAATTATGGAGAGAAAATTTTTTTCACATTTTTCCGTGCGTGAGCAGTATAAAAAAACTACTTTAAATCACAGATATCAACAATTTTTCCTTCAAGTCTACTATACAAGAAAAGACTTGTATTTAATTTTACAAGTCTACAAGTATACAAGAAAAGACTTGTATTTAATTTTAAATTGCTCCAAAAATTTTGTTTAATTTTATTGAATATTTTTAAAGTAAGAGCAAAAAAAACAAAGAAAAATTAGTTTGAATATATATATAGCATAATAAATAAATACAAAAAACACGAGGAACATTAAGAAAAATATAATACTTTTTATTTATTGCGCATAAGCTGCAAGTAAATAGAACTCATAAAATAAATATAATAACTAGGTTTATGAAATTTCGTGCAATTGTTACGCATCGTGATCAAAATAATTGTGATAATTTACAAATTTATTGATATACATGGAGTGTCTAAAAATACTATTTTTGGTTTTTAATTTATTGTCAGTCCCTCAAACTCTAGTTCAAAAAGTGTTCTGTATTTTCCAACCTCTCGGATTTTTTAATCTTATTGCAACCAGCGTATCTAGTAATAAAATTAGCAAAGATTTACTCTATCAAACTGATTTTGCTAAGGAAAATTGCAATAAACCTTTAATAAAGCTATAGAGTAGTGGCTAAGGGGATAGAGTGCTCGCCTCCTAATGAGATGCTCCTGGTTCGAATCCCTGTGATGGCTGGTCTATACGAATTTCGCTCCCGTCTGACACCCACTACAAAGCTGACTTGAAATTCGAATCATGGGTAAGTAGTTCATGGATTAGAATCTCCTAGCCCTGGCTAACTGTAGAATGTTTTCGTGGTTTTCCTCTCAATGTAACGCAAATGCGGATAATTTCCATCCAAAAAGTCCTCCGTAAAGGCAGATCCAAGAGTCCCCTTGTCTTTTGGATAGTGTTCAAAATTGCAAGGCTGCGGAGTTGAACAGAGCAATACTGTGTATGCTATTAACTGTATGCAATAAGACTTCAGCTTTCTAGACTTATTGAAAATTAAGTGATACAAATTAGGCTAATTGAATTTTTGATAGATGTTCTAATTAGCCTAAATATACACAGTCTCGCAACAATAAGCCTTAAAAATATCAGGATGATTAGAAAACGCTGGGGACTTTTTTTTATTTAGACCAGTGCATTGCAAAATGCTATCTCTTAAAAAGCCATCTAACTCAAATGTGTATTAAAAATGTTTTAAAATGTATTTAGGGCTGCTTCCAAATGTGCCAGCAAAAAGAAAACATACATCAATGTGCATGTGCTGATCCTCTGTTACCTCAGATGTCTTCATGGAAAGTGTGCGACATTAAAAATGAAACAATAGGTAATGAATTACAATTCAAACTTTTTTATTTCAGGATGTTTAGATAGATACAATTAATTAAAACAGTGTATGCACTCTGAGCCGTGATGGCTCAGGGAATTGAGCGTTCGTCTTCCAGTGAGATAAACCGGGTTCGAATCCCAGCGATGGCTGGTAGATACAAATTCCGCCTCCGGCTGGCACCGACCACAGTACGGACATAAAATATCCTCAGTGGTAGACGGATCATGGGTTAGAGTTCCTTTGCCGTCAGTCAAATCTAGGGAGGTTTTCATGGTTTTCCTCTCCACGTAACGCAAATGCATGTTAGTTCCATCAAAAAGTCCTCCACGAAGGCAAATTTCTCCGAATACTTGATCCAGGAGTTCCCTTGTCTTCTGGGTTGGGATCAAACAGACAAGGAAAAACAAGACGGAGTTGAATATTAGTAGTCGTGAACCCAAAGAATTGAGTAGGCTGTCCAACGACGGTTATAAAATAAAATTTAAAAAAATATTATACACTCCAAAAATCCGATCACAAGCTCACGGTCAGTGACTAACAAAAAGAGTTCCATTCCCCGCCCTTAAATTATGATTGTTGCTTAAATTATGACACTTAGAATTGCAGATCTGAGTGTGCATCTCATAAAACATATAGCCTCGGACAGAAAATTAAGGTTATACTTACTAAAGTTATCAGTAGAGAACTTCAGGTAGTTTGAGTCCCGCAGTGGACAGATCGTAAGGACACGATTCCCAGTAGAACACCGAAGTCAAGCATCACTGGCTGCGGTCAGTGTGCGGGTGGGTGACCACTTGGATCAGTCTGCTTACGGACCGAGGGTGTGCGGTATGGATCCTCGTTAAGCTGTTCTACTGTAAAGTTCTGGACTTTGCGTGCAGGTCGTCGGGCTACCGAAGCGGTGGTGCCATACCCTCTGCAGAGGTCAAATCAAAATTATGATGGTATATCCTCGGATCATCCACAGGGATGTTTCCGAGACCGTCGCCAATAGCCCATTGTGTAGGTCTAGTGCGACGTAAATAAACTACAACTACAACAATCAAGTTGTTTGAGACTCAATTGATTTGTTTTCGTCGAATCAAAGCGCACGTGGGAACGTGGGGAAATAGTGTAGTGCTGCCCCTGTCGAAGTATGAGAGAATTGAGTATTCATTAACCATGATCATTATTGCAGTGAGTGGGCGAGAGAGAAAGACGTTCTTTAACGCGGCTGGATTTGAACTTGAGACTATTGCATCCATAGCCAGATGTTGAAACCACCTTGAAAACAGCTGTACACTCCCAAATCAAGTTAATAAGCTTCTTATGACAACAATACGAATAAACGGACAACTCTATTAATTTTATTTAAGGTTATTATAATTACGGGCACTGACCTTTTTTGTCAAAAAAAGGTGATAAAACTGACAGTCAACTCAAGTAATTTTCTGAAATTTGCTACAATTATGAGTAATGGGAGGGGGGCTTTTTTCTTTAAGAATGAAGCCGCCCATATAAATGAATGGCCAACCCTCTAAATTTTATGGAAATTTCTCAGAGCGTTTTTATCATTTGCATTCAGAAATGCGAATAACTTATTAGAATTTCGTATGCCTAACCCTCCTCCGAAAATACTATGAAATGCATTCATTTAATTAAAAAACAAATTACAGCGATATAGAATATAACGTATTTAGAACAATTCCCTGTAAATTCCCAAAATGAAACTAATAATTTAGAAAAAAATGACGCGTTAATTAAACTGATTAGAAATTTTTAAACATTTTAATATTGAAATAAAAGTTGCGTTCGCCTTAGTACGAAAGCCATTGGTGAAATGCTTTTTCATTCTAGAATGACTCCGTTAAACATTTCAAATAATGGGTCGCAAAAACTGTCTCCAAGGATGTTTGATTTCATATCCTTGCCTATGGACGTGTTTCACAAAATACATTTCCTTCCTAAGCATTCATATTTATATTGAAATAACTGCCAAGCCAGTCATTATACGTTAATAATAAAAAGAAAATAAAAATACTTTAAATTATTATGATGTAAATACATTAAAAATGCCTGCTAGTGAACAATAAAAAGAAAAACAGCTGTCGCCAGAGCAACACATGCGCAACTAAAATGTCTGTACATATGCACTAGATAAAATCAAATATATACATTTTAGTTACATTCATTTGTGCGTATACAAATACGTACAAAATGTAATGCATGTAAATACTCACAAAATGTATAATTAAAAATACATTATACTATCTACTGTAAAATATAATCATTTATGAGCATACAATAGTCTTGTTATCGTGCATTTAAATTACATGCAATCATAATTACAGGTAATCAAAGTACATGTAATCATGATTAGATGTAATCATATATTATGATTACTTGTAATCACGATTACAAGTAATTGATTACAGTAATTGGTTATGTAATCACGATTACAGTTGTAATCAAAATTATGAATGTTTGTAATCATGATTACAAGTAATTGTTTACTGTAATTGAGTATTGTAATCATGATTACAGTTGTACTCATGATTACAAAGTTATAATTGATATGGTTACGAAGTTATATTTCTTGCGAAGTAAACTATTCTTTCAACAATATCAAATGTGAATTTTTTCTTCCTTAATTTTTAACTTTTATTTTAAAAAAAAGACCTAGGAACAAGTTAATCAAAGAAGCTACTTTAAGTCTTTTCTGTGGATAAAATTTTTATAAAAGTAAAAATAAATTTTATTTTAGTTAGAACGATTTTTGTCTTTTGTAAAGAAACAGCGTTTGAGTGTGCTTGATAACTTTTGAAAGCTATTCATTCAGAAAATTGTCCTTGGACAAGAAATAAATACACTTTACAAATCTACTTTACAGATTCAGACATTTCGAGAATTTAATTAATACTTTTAATTCCACTTACTACAGAAATTAAATCCTTTTAAAATGATGTTTTTCATGTGACATTTTTTTTCTTTTTATTTGTTCAACATATTCTCTTAAATAAACTTTATTGATTTCGAAGCTAGACAGCTTACAAAAGAATTCAAACAAGATATGTCATCAAAATATACAAAAAGAGCTTTCAAAAACAGCTTTATACCTTTATTTAGGAAACTGTTGTTGTTGTTTTTTCAATCCTTTTTTTTTGTCATACTATTTTAATTTTGTTTAGGTCTTGTAAAAATATAGAATTGAGATGCGACTTTATTTTAATTAACAATTTACAATGTATTTAATATTTATTATTTTTTCCTAGTATAACAATTTTTGATAATATTTTTTTATTTATGTGTTGTTATAATAATTATTGATATTTTTAATAATTACTGTCGTCTTTGCTGCGGATTGTAATTTTTGTTGCTTTTATTATAAAGCCTCTAGAAAGTTTTGTAATTTAAAATAGAGCGTTCGTTTTCCAATGACCCGGGCTCGAATCCCAGCGATGGCTGTTCGATACGAATTCCGTATCATACTTGCACGGACCAGAGTGCAGAAGTAAAATATCCTCAGGGGTAGACGGATCACGGATTTGAGTCCCTTTGCCCTCAGGCTAACTATGGGAGGGTTTCGTGGTTTTCCTTTCCATGCAACGCTAATACGAGTTAGTTCCATCAAAAAGTCCTCCACGAAGGCACAATTTCTCCTAATACTGGATCGAGGAGTTCCATTGTCTTCTGGATCGGGATCAAATTTACACGGCTGCGAATTTGAACATTAGCAGTTGTAAACAGAAAGAAATTGAGTCGGCTGTTCAGCTAAGTTTATGTAATGTTATCACTCCAACCTGTGATTATTAAGTAATTTTTTATTATTACATTATATTGAGTGTAACAATATTTTTAACTTTATTCCTTTATGATTAAAAGTTTAGAACCAACTAAAATTGAATGTTACAAATTACAAAATAAAAATTTTTAGTACATGCCACAAACAGATAATTTTTAAATTTTATAATGTAAGAAGTAAAGACTTTATAGCTCATTTACTACTTGCCAAGTATCTGCTTTCAGATAGATGCATATTTTTCTGTCAACTTCCCTAAAAAAATAACCCTATTTTACGGTACTTACGTAAAAGAATTACGGTTCTTTTATCTTAGTTATGAGTCTATTCAAAATATCGTAACTTTTATATTTCGAACTCCACATTTTGAATGGGGCAATTTATAAATGTGCATTTTGAGCTTATAAATCCTTTATGGAAAGTTAAGAAAAATAATAATTTTGTCATTTTAAGTCAAATCTCTAGCTTAATCGCAAAATAAATTTTTACTCTAATAAGGAAAGCAAAGATTTTTGAATTAAAAAAAAGCAGGGAGTTTAATTTTTAAAACTTCAAATATTTACATAAAACAATTCGTTTTTTACACACTGAAGCTTTAGAAAATTACCCTTTTGTGTAGATAATTAGTTATGCGTAAAAGGGCAAAATAAAAGCAGTTTTAATACATATAAAGTTGTATACAAGTTATTCTAATTAGGCTTTTTCTGTTGTTGAAGTAGATAAGGTAATAATGAGGTTCTCTTGCTGCTTTTAAGAGTTTTATGTTCAGTGATAAAAGACAAGTTAGCACTCGTTAAAGTACTTTTCATAAAGGAATTTATAAAAAGGTCTTAAAAATTTGAATCGAATGTTTTTAAAGGAATTAGCTTTTGTCTTAAATATGCAATGAGGAAACGTCGACTTTAAATATAATCACAGCTTTATAACGTAATAGATTTTATTATACAAATTTTATTTTTTTGCAATTTATTTTCATTTTATATTTATTAGATTAAGATAATAGCTTTATTATAAACTCTTTCTATCCTTTAATGAACTTGCGATCTCTTTTTTCCGGTGACAAAATTCTGATTATGGTTTTAAAACACAAAATACACAATCATAAAAATTTTGGTAAAAATACAAAAGAAAGCATCGAAAATTATATTTATACCATATAATTTACAATTATATACTTTAAAAAGATGTGAAAATTTACTACTCAAACTTTTTCTACTATTACCAAAAAAATTTATAAATAACTGTATTAATTATTTTTTTTAAATAAAATTAGCTTCTGAAAAACGAGTTTTTCAATTACGAGTTTCTAAAATTAAAAAAAATATATATATGATTTAAAAAAAATGCATGATTGATTTCATAACATCGAAACTATTTGACAGATTTCGTTCAAATTTTATATTTTTCATTTAAGAATATTTATACCTTTGACTTTAAAATTATATACTTTAAAAAGATGTAAAAAAAACTGCAAATCTTACTATTCAAAATTTTTCAACTATTACCAAACAAATTAATAAATAACTGTATTAAATATTTTTTTACATAAAATTATCTTCAAAAAAGCGAGTTTTTCAATTTTGTGCCAAAAAAATGTACAATTCACTTAAAAAGTCATCGAGACTACAGGTAAATACGCGAAAAGTATAATTGCAAATACATTAAGGGGCATTACAAAACGAAACAACATAATAAGAAAAAATTATGCATCTTCGATGCATAGTTTTTTCATGCTTCAGTTTAATATGATTCATACTTCAGTTTAATATGTATGAATCATATACATATTAAACTGAATATTCATACTTCATTCATTCTTCAGTTTAATATACATCAAGGATACAGACTGCTTGCAAACAAAGGTCAAAAACGGTAAACTCTTTTCAATGCAATCTTTTCAACCATCAAAACGATCATACAACATCTTCCATTATATTTTGATGGTTGTTGTGGATCCGACATTAAAAAACATAATTTTCTGGTTGACCATCATAATGGTGAACTACATCTTCCATCTTATTTTGATGGTTGTCATTGGTTCAACAACAGCATAACATGGTGGTTAAACCATCATACAGGAAAAACAGCACGTTCCATCTTAGTTTGATGATTGCTATTGGTCCTACGCTAATAAACATGGCATGATGGTAGAACCATCATAATAGTTAAATAACATCTTCCATAATATTTAAACTGTTTTTGTATGTCCGACATTATTAAACACATCTTGTTGGTAGACCATCAAACTATACAGCATCTTCCATGATATTTTGATGGCTGTTGTTGGTCCAACAATAAGAAACACAATTTGCTGGTTGACCACCATAATGATGAACAACATCTACCGTCAAAATATGATGGTTAATATTGGTCCATCAGAAATCAAACATTGCTTGATAGTTTACCGTCATAACACAAAGCAACACTTTCCAATTTGTAATAATGAAAATTTGTTGGGCCATCAAAAACCATCAAAACTAGATGGAGATTGTTTTATGATGGTGACCATCAACACAAGTTGGACCATCAAAAATCTTATTGACACCAACATAAACCATCAAAATCCTTTGATAGTACCATCAAGTATGTTGTCCTGGGAATACAAAGATAAAAAATACACACAGATCTACATTTTTTGCATACATCATATTTGTATTTACTGTTATACAAAAGAGTGAGGTTTTTGTTTTATCAGTACATATGAAATGGTCATATTTTGGATCTGAAACATGTTGCTACTGCTATGAATTTTGCGACTTAAGTTTTTGGTATTGTACCAATTGAATCATAATATTTCTATGTGTATGCCTGACTTGAGCTAGAATTTGTATAATAATTAACAGCCTGTAGTTTATCTACCACTACAAAAATATAATTCAGATTCAATAGTATATATAAGACATGTTAACTCGATTCTATGGTGGGGTACCTTTTCATAGATGAAGGTTGACATGGTCGAAAACTACTCGCTCCCCACATGGGTGACCTTCGGACTTGGCCGAAACTCCCAATTCGATATGAATACGCCCATCGTGACCGTAGCGCCTGCTTCGATCTGAACACGCCTACTACTATGGATGGCCACCATTGAATAGTTGACTGCGACATTATCCACCTCGTGCTGTTGCTAATCAGTTTCGATCACAAACAACGTACTCAATCGACTGCTAAAGGCAACACAGGAGTAACCACGACCATGAACCTAATACAGCTTTCACGATCAGCATTCAAAAGTAGAGTACGTTAATACAGCTCTCCCGTGCTCTCATGAAACAGCATTGAATCAGCTAGTGGTATCCATGTTCTATGTAAAATTGAACTAGTGGCATCCATGTATCGTGTATGTATGTAAAATTTTACTATGCTTGATGTTTTTACTCCCTAGTTTATGCTAGAAAAAAAAATTTCAAAAACTTTCTTAACCACAAAATTCCAGTTTTAATCCAAAGAAATTCTTTTTAACATCCTGTTTTGTACTTCATCGAAACTTAGTCGACTAAAATCTTACTCCCTTAGAGTGTTTAAAAACAATTCTGAAGAACTCGTGCTATACGATTCGAAGACACGACTCATTATTCTTTGAACTTTAACTTACATATTATTACCCATTGGCAGAATGGATCTTCGTTTGAATTTCATCTCGTCAGCACTTTTCAACTACAATAATCAAGAGTAATAATAAACAGTGAGCATGTGTTGCTATGGCTGCTTGATAATTTTTTTAGAATTCTTTTTTCACTTTTAATTTTGTTATGCGTGAGTTTATTTTTGAGAAAGGGAACCAAAGAGATCCCATAAACAGTTCTTGAGTTGTGAATAAAAGAGAATTTCATCATTTGAACGATATTTTTGTTTCTAATTAAGAACCAGATATTCTAGCCTATAATTCAAAATGGATCGTTTTCAATTCTTATTCGGGTGAATATCACACCTAAAGATGATCCAAACTGATTGACACGGTCCCAAAAGTTAGAGTTGAAAAATCAATGCCAAGACCTAAACTTACCCAGGCTGAAAAAGTCAAGGAACGTAGGCGGGAATACCTTAATCGCTGCACACAAAGACGAGCAAATGGTGACCCTCCGAACCCCTTTCATGCAAATACGAGAACTGGGTGTTGATCACCAGTTAGGGATGAAAGGATCTATTGTCAACGTACCCAATAACTTGCACAAGACCGCAGACCAGGGGTGGGCAAACTTTTTTGGTCGAGGGCATAAAATCGAGAAGAAAAAAAGCTTGGTGGGCCAAGTAAAATTATCTAAAATGAAAAAAAAACGACTTACAAGTTTTAATTTAAATATTTAGTGAGATGAATGAAATTGCGATTTCATTTTTAAAAGTTCCATATATTGAGGTTTGAAGTGAGATGTACTTATTTTAAGGCTAAATGCTTTTTTGTTAGTCTGCATCTGAAATGATTATTTCTAAATTTCATAGTTGAAGACACTTGTTCACGTATATAAGATGAAGCACTGACTATCTGGGCATGAAATATTAAATTTGGGAAACTAGCTTTTGGTAATGATTTGTAAAACTCAAACTTTGGCATACTTGGAAACAACTGCTTCAAAAGCGCCAATCTACGGCTTCTCTATAAAGAACTTCTGCTTTCAACATTTTACCAATTGAAGCTGTATGAGCTAACATTTGTCTGAGTTGGCATTTACAGGGCAGATTTGTTGGCCTCTCTTTCAGGGGCACCTTTTAGGTGGGCCAACGTTGCTCCCACAGAAGGGAGAAATAGTACAGAGAAGGAAAGAATATCCATGCCTTGCCCGGGATTCGAACCCAGAACCTTTCTGATGCAAAGGCAGTTCCCTAGTTGCTTAGAATTAAAATTATTTTTACTGAACTTTTTGAAAATCTTGATTTTTAAAAACTTCAGTTAAAGTAATTTCAGTTCATTTTCAGAATTATATCTGCCCTTCTTTTTTCTCACAGTTAACAGTTACCATCTTTTTCTGGTTATTTGACTGTTTCGGTTGAATATTGTACTAATCATAAAATAACAATTAACTAAAATGTTATTTAGCCACCTTTTCAAGGAAATTTCCAAAAGTGTGTTAAAATAGATTTCTTTAATTTATAATCATACCAACGACTTCTGACTCTTGAAATAAGTGCTGTATTTATTTATTTTTATGTTTTATTTATTTTTTTAAAGTCCCGCAGTGGACTGATCGTTAAGACACGGTTCCCAGCAGATCACCGAAGTCAAGCATCATTGGCTGCTGTCAGTGTGCGGTTGTATGACCACTTGGATTAGTCTGCGTAGGAACCGTGGGTGCGCGGTATGGGTCCTCGTTAAACTGTTCTACAGTGAAGTTCTCGACTTCACGCGATGGTCGTCGGGCTACCCAAGTGGGGGTGCCATCGCCTCTGCAGAGGATCAAAATTGTGATGGCATGTCTTAGGATCATCTTCAGGGATATTTCCCAGACAGTTGCCAACAGCCCATTGTGCAGCTCTAGTGCGACGTAAATGAACTACAACCATTCATTTTTTAATACAATAATATATTTAATATATTATATTTAATGCATTNAAAGTACGTACTTTTTACTTGTACCGGCGGTACAAGTAACGAAAGTAAAAGTACTGCCATGTATGGTTTTAACTTTTAAATATGGATAAACATCTCAGTTAGTTCATATGGATTTAAATTAATATCGGAATTTTATTTTACTATTAGTTTGTTGTTTGAACCATGTTAAAGAGTCTTCAAGATTTGACATTTCTGCCTGTTCTTGCCCTTTACCTTGCAGGTAAGTCAATTTATTTATCAATAACATACGCATTTATTCCAAATCTACATAATGGTCTTTATTTAAAAAAACATTTGTCAGTCACTGTACACTAACTGGCCATATTATTAGAAACACTATAAGATTCTATGTGAAATCTTAGTTATGAGGTCATACTATACAACTTAGCAACAGCTACATAGCAACAGCTGTACATAGCAACAGCTGTATAGCACTAAGCTGCTGCTTAGTGCTATACAGCTTTATTGTTTTATGTGACTGAAACCGGTTTGCACTTGTTTACGTTAGTGTATCAATGTGCTAAATTATACGATATGTAATATAAATTTGATGATAGGATAAATTAAACGATTTATTATATAAATATAGAATATTTATAATATCAGGCATTATATTAGTATAGTATAATAATTAGATCCAATTATCAGACGCGCTGTAGTGTTTTAATAATGACATGTTTTGCACGAGTTTATAGGCAATACTTTTATACATGTAATGGGGGTTTTATTCAGGAGATTTTTTTTATATACTTCCTATTTGTATTCATGTTTAACGTATTTTATTACAATGTTAACCCATTGATACAGGAGCTTAAGCAAATGCAAACCGGTTTCATCCGAGTAAAAACAATAAAGCTGTATAGAGTATCATCTGATAATTATAATTTTACATAGAATCTTAGAGTGCGTTTAATAATATGTCCAGGGACTGTAAGGTTGCCAGAATGCATCGTCCGGAAAATAAAATGACAAGTGCCACTGAGTGCTTTAATTTTTATTACTTTTTACAAAACGTTTATATTTTGTAGTAAAATTTTTCCAAACTGTAATAAGTATTAAAGATAACTATAGAAATGAAGATAGGCTTTGAAAATATCTCTAAGTACATTGTTTTGAAGATTAAATAAATCCAACAAAAGAGATATCAAATACACATAAGTTAAAAATTCGCCATTAGCAAACTATTTTAAAATTGATAGATCTCAAGTCAGTATTTTATATTCCATTTTAGTTTTACTACCCATAAACATCAATTCTAAAAACAAAAACACTCTGTTGAAATTTCATTGAATTTGTTTGAGATTTATAGAAAATTAACGAACGGTTTTTCTCGGTTAATGAAAACTGCAGGTTCGATAATGGCTTTGGTAATCAAATATTTCACTCGATGTAATCGAATTTACGCTGATTTATTTTACAACTTAAGTCTTGCATCGCATAGCATTTAAAGAATTACAGCTACCACTATTTTTCCTCCTCGTTGTTCGAAGATAAAAGATGTTTGACTAAACTTGTTAACGAAATTGTTTACTTAGGAATGAAATATGGAAGAAGAAATTGTGTTTTTGAAAATTAGTTTTTGAGAGAACATTACTTGTGTGTTTGCTTATGTAATGAATATAAGTATGCAGTTCCTGGCCACCAAGTTATTAGACGCACTTCGAAGTTCTATGTAATGTAATCTTAATTATCAGGTGATACTCTATACAGCTTTAGTGTTTTTACGGGACTGAAACCTGTTTGCACTTGTTTACGTTCGTGTATCATTTGATTAACATTGCAATACTTTAAAAATAAATACAAATGGGAAGTCTATAAAAAATTTACTGAATAAAAACTCAATACATTTATGTTTAAATATGAGAGTATCGCATATAAACAAGTTCAAAACCTGCCATTATTAAAACACTACAGTGCATGTAATAATTTGGTCTAATTATTATAATATACTAGTATAATGCTTGATATAATAAATATTCTATATTTATATTATATATCGTCTAATTTAACCAATGGATACACGAACGTAAACAAGTGCAAACAGTTTCACAAAAACAAGCTGTATAGAGTATCACCTTATAATGACGATTTTACATAAAATTTTAGAGTCAGTATAATATTTAGGTCATTTACTGTATATTTGGTGTATACTAAAATTTATAATTACATAAAGTAATATACACGTAAGAGTAAGTCAAATTTTTACGACACAATATAAAGCTAGAATCATTAATTTAAGATACATGTATACGCTAATACTTAAATTAAAATTAATTTGTTAAAATGTATACAGATAAGACTAGGGCAAGTTAGATTTAAGCCTGACCAGATAGGATTTAAATATTATACAATTATTTAATACAATGGGATGCTTGCAAGTGACGTTGTGCTTATCTCGATCCCGATTGGTTGTTGAAACGTGACATATATTTGCGTTATCAACTGTTCTTTCCATTTTATTTCCAGTAGGCCAAGCCTGTCAAGTATCAATTCGTTTTTACCTGATTTAAAAGTTACACATTGTAAATCTTATTCACGCGTTTTACAAATCGTACATAGTGATTCGTATTCACGTGATTTAAAATTCAAATGTCGCGATCCGTTTTCACGCTAGTTTAAAATCCAATTTTGTTATTCGTATTCAAGAGTTTATAGCATAGATGGCAGTACTTTTACTTTCGTTACTTGTACCGCCGGAACAAGTAAAAAGTACGTACTTTTACTTGTACTTCGTTACTTTTTAAATTTAGTACTTTTACTTGTACTTTCGTTACTTTTTTAGGGAAAAAGTACAAGTATTTGTAACGGAAATATCGAACGAAATCGTTACTTTTTTTCTAAAACTCGNACATAAAAACAATAAAGCTGTATAGAGTATCTTCTGATAATTAAGATTTTACATAAAATTTTAGAGTGAGTATAATATATAGGTCAGGGACTGTATATTTGGTATATACTAAAATTTATAATTACATAAAGTAATATACACGTAAGAGTAAGTCAAATTTTTACGACACAATATAAAGCTAGTATCATTAATTTAGGATACATGTATACACTAATACTTAAATTAAAATTAATTTGTTAAAATGTATACAGATAAGACTAGGGCAAGTTAGATTTAAGCCTGACCAGATAGGATTTAAATATTATACAATTATTTAATACAATGGGATACTTGCAAGTGACGTTGTGTTTATCTCGATCCCGATTGGTTGTTGAAACGTGACATATATTTGCATTATCAACTGTTCTTTCCATTTTATTTCCAGTAGGCCAAGCCTGTCGAGTATCAATTCGTTTTTACCTGATTTAAAAGTTACACATTGTGAATCTTATTCACGCGTTTTACAAATCGTACATAGTGATTCGTATTCACGTGATTTAAAATTCAAATGTCACGATCCGTTTTGACCCGAGTTTAAAATCCAATTTTGTTATTCGTATTCAAGAGTTTATAGTATTCGCAATCGCAACGCTCGAGTACACCCTCTAGCGGCAGCCTGAAAATATCGGGCATTAATTCCATCATAACCATTGGCAATGACGGACGCCATTTTCTTAGCAGCAAATAAGAAGCCAAATTTCGCTTAGAAAAAAGGTAGCAGAACTTGAAAAAGCTAACCAGAACATGCCAAACATTAAAGCAGAACACGCCAAGCATTCGAGGAACAATTTCTCAATAATTTTTACCTTTCTATTACCAACATTAATTCCGATTTCATGATCTTTTGCTGTTTCAGATGTGTGTATTACGGTAAAATAATTTTTTCTGTCTTCAATTCTTTACAAATTAAAGTGAAGTCAATATTGCTTTCGTCATTCCAATGAATTAATGTGAATTCAGAATGTACAGATCTGTAATAATTATATAATATTCTTCTTCTTTATAGAATAGTAAATATTTCTGTATCTATATAATTCGGGAAAAAACAATAAGGAATTCTCTGAATTACTTGAAATTTGTGTTGATTATTAATAAATTTTTATCGCTTTCTTGGTAAGCATTTTTTAGTTTTAAAAGAATAATTTCAACTAGAATTCAGCTATTCTGTCTTCAAGGAATTTGAAATTCATATCGAGATCATACAATTATAAAATTTTGATGTGTGGTATGTTATCTAAAAGTAATGAAGGAATAATCTATGTAGATATTATTTGAAAATAAAATTTTCAAACGAAGAACATTTCATTTGGAATTCTCCGGATTTATAAAGAAGGTGAGTGTTATGATTTTTATAATAAAAAATTTACTTGCAAATAATTGTTTTTCTTATTTGATGATAGTTCTTTACAGAATGGTTTTACGTCTAAATAAGAACTATAAGAATGAAAAAAGGAAACAATATGACAGTTTTTTTTTCAATATGAAGAATTTTTAGAATTGCTTTTTTATCTTAAGAATTCCTTGTTTTACGTTTTTTAGTTAATGATTTTTTGATAAAAATTGTCGTCAAAATACTTTTTTTTGAAAAATTAAATTTTATAACATTATGTATTTATGATACTTCTTGCATATTCTTGGTTTGAAGTAATATGATTCAGAAAAGTATGGAATAAAAATTCGGTACTTATGCATTAACGCCACCGCAGCTACAGATTTGGCAGTTTTTAAGTGCCGCCAATCTACACCTAAATTTTTTGCGACAAATCATAAAATAAAACACTTTATTTAAAATCAAAGTAGTCAATCGGATTTCGATGAGAAATGAGCCTATATAAAGTTCAATATAGATTCAAAACAAACTATATTTTCGTTCACCTGTTGATGTCGTCATATTAACTCTAATAAATAGGATTCCAAATGAGATAACATTTCCAAAACGTACGTTTACCAAGATAAAGTCTTATGTCATGGGAATTGATAAATTTCGTTTTTTTTGGTAAAATATTTCGCTCTTGAAAAAATGAAATTGCATCTTGTTTTGCTTTTGGCAAATCCCAAAGACGAATTTTCGTAGCACTTGAAAAATGACGACAAAAAAGAATTGTTTTTTTTTTTGTTTTGTTTCGTAAGCATTCTTTATTTTACGTTTTTTAGTTTCTAAATAATGATTTTTATTGAAACTTGAAATTTTTTGATAAAAATTGTGGTCAAAAAACTTTTTTTGCAAAATTTTATGAGACTTATGTATTCTTTTTGTTCATTTTAGTTTTTGAAGTATTAAGATTCTTAAAACTATGGAATGTAAAGTTTAAATAGGCTTTTTATGTTATATCATTAAATTTAGTAAAACAATTTCTCGGGCATTAGGTTTTAACTCTTATAAGAATATACATATTTTTTTCTGTTTATTTACAAATATTTTTCCAATGTGTTTTGGATGTTCCATCTCTAACTAAAAAGTGATACCATTTTGTTTTCGTTTTGCATAAGAAAGAATATCAAACATTTTTTCTTTTTTAAATTGAATAAGCCACAATAAAGAAGGAACGTTACAATGCTACACGCTACATTAAAGACGTCTCCAGAGTAACTGAGTGACTGTACATATAGAAATCGCAGGTATTCGTCTCATACAATAACGCTCCCTATAGTTCGTTGCGATCGCGAATCAAACATCGATTATCGCATTTATACGAGATTTAAAAAGTCGCACAAACTGATTCGTACCTTTACGTTCTTAAAATCCAATATTGCTATTCACATTCACACGATTTTACTTTCTTCTTAAATTAGTTACTAAAAAGGTGTCTACTAAAAAGTGTCTAACAAAAAAGGTCTGATATTCTTCATTGGTAGGTAATTTAAATATAAATCTTATTTCAAAAAATATATATTATACATGTAAAATTTATAAATTGATATCGAGTGTTTGCAACAAAAATTTTCGTGGTTTTTCACTATGGGTCACAGTCACCCTTGCATAATTACCTTCGTATATAAGTTTAAACAATGAGGTAAAAGGAGACTTTTATGAATATCTTCTTTTTTTATATGTTTTTCCACATCTTGTTACATGCCATTTTCACCATCAGCGTAGAGAGAGCTAGGTAGAGATTGACAATAACTAAATAATAAATAACTAAAACCTCGCAACAGCTAAAAAAAAAGAAGAAAAAAATAGCGTATTGTTCATGTCCTATCAATTATCTCATCACCAGACAAAAAATTTAAAAAAAGGAAAAAACTAACTTTGATATTGCATTTATTAATGCCAGACAAATTATTACTTTTCATCAATGTCGCACTAAATACTTGGTTTTAAGTAACGAATGTTAATTTAATTAGCAACGACACTTTTCTCGTTTCTTGAAAGAACTCTGAAGCAAAGTAATCAGCCTCGTTCGGGAAGGTAGAATGAGCTAATTTCTTTCTGTGAATGTTCCATCGTGATAATGACGACTTCGAAAGGAAGTTTTCCGCAAAGATTTCATATTGATTTTTGTTTTGAGATTGTAATCTGGAATGGTTATTTGGAAAAGAGGCTTACTATCAAAAAAGAACTTCCTCATTAGAAGGATTGGGGCATTTTTGTTTATTGCGTTATGAGGTATTTAGTATATTTCTGGTAGTAAACTCTGTAGTTTTATCATTTTGAAAGTTAAGTTTATTCATTATTTCTTAGTCACCTTAAAACTAATAAGCGAACGGAGTTCATATCAGTCTCTTCAATGTCTCTTCGTTTTCTTAAATTTACATAAATTTCTGAACACAATCATTGCTTATGAGGTCATCATTAAATAGAGTAAACAAAACAAAGGTAAATAAAATATTAGCTGTAGAACTTTTTAAACTTACAAAAACCCCACATAATTTAAAGCAACGCAATATTATTGTAGAAAACTATTTTATAGAGTTGGTCTAAAATAATAAATTTTGTATACTTACTTTCATACGTATACTCTGAGGGGTATCCATCTTAGAAAATACAATAATGAAAAAAAAATGCTTTCATAATTAAGTATGGAAGTAAATGAGTTTTATAAAAGTTTAATGCTTAATATGTAAAATATAGATAAGACAAGCTCTGAGGTATGTTGAGCAACTCTGAGCTTCACTTGTTAAATAGTTTTCCGTCATCTTTTCATAAACAATTTTGTTTTGTTGTTCAAATGTGGTGCGTATGAGACACATTTTGTTTTTGTTGTTGTTGTTACTAATGCTACTTGCCAACACCACCAATGGGAATCCAAGAGAATTCTTAAGGCATTGGGTGCGTTTCTTGTTTCTCCGTGGCTCCATCTATATTCGAGAATACGACTTCAGGCACCTACACTTTACAGCCCGTTTTACAAGGATAACCTATTCATACTCCATTCATTTATCCGCTGATTATAATTATGATATGAACCACAGAAATCTCCAATACAGTACCCCCAGAGATATTGATTTGTTAAGGGAACTTTGAGGACTTTCTGACGCTGAATTCACTAGGGTAGGTGTCTGTGTATCAGAGTTCTTCTTCTTCTTGTGTTATTCAATTAAAGATGAATTAAGCTAAAAGGAAGTATGCGATGAGTGTGTTTAAGCATGACAAATCAAACTATAGAATGTAAAGTACTCCCTTTGGATATTGATCAGAGTTATCAAACAGTACTCTAGGTGAGAGAGATTGTGATTGAAATTTACAATTAACTGTGTCAATAGTCTCATGTAAAGTATTTATACGTTAACTCATACGTTTTGTTAAAATTAATAGATAATTAATGTGCATTCATATTTTGTAACGTTATTTCTGAATATTTAACCTTATTTTCTCATTTATTTATCATGAATCTCTTCTAGGTCTACTTCTTTTGATGTGATGATCTCAACGGCCAAATGGCCAGCTGAAAACTATAAGAACGAGGTAAAACCGAATTACGACTGTGATATGTTAAATATTGAATAGTTTATCATTGGCATGATAAACTAATCATTCTTACTATTCGTGGAATCAAAAACCAATCATTCTTATTATTAGTTTATCATTCCACAAAAAAGGGAAGATTCTATGTAAATTTATCTCTAGTAAAAACGTTTTTGTATCTTATTTCGTAACTTAGAATATGACATAGAAAATTAAATAATATATTTAAATTCGTATCATTAAAATGGAACAGAGAAACTTATGTATCACAACCTACAGTCCCTGGTCAAATTATTAGACGCACTAAACATTTCTATGTGAAATCGTAATTATCAGGTGATACACTATACAGCTTTATTGTTTTTATGTGACTGTTTGCACTTGTTTACGTTAGTCTATCAATTGGTTAAATGAGACGATATACAATATAAATTCGACGATTGAATAACTTAGACGATATATTAGATAAATATGGAATATTTATTATATCAGGTATTATATTAGTATATTATAATAAGGAGATTAAATTATCGTGTTTTAAATAATGATTTGCTTTGCACGAGTTTATAGGCAATACTTTTATATTCAAGCAAACATGTAATGGATTTTTATTCAAGAGATTTCTCATATACTTCCTATTTGTATTTATTTTCAAAGTATTGCATGACAGTGTTAACCCATTGATACACGAACATAAGCAAGTGTAAACCGGTTTCATTCAATAAAAAACAACAAAGCTGTGTAGTATCACCTGATAATTATACTGCGTCTTACAATAAGGCCACCTGATAATTATACTTATACTGCGTCTAATAATAGAGCCAGGGACTGTACTTAATGTACACGGTAGTGGCCAACTTAACAGATTTCACCATCTTTTATTGTGAAAAACAGATCCTTGAATTAAGAGTTATTTAAAGTAATAATTTATTTTTCTTCTTTTTGCACTGAGTATACAATATTTTTCTTCTATATTTTATTACTTTTCAATGCATTGAATAGATATGCTCATAATATATTTCTCCATCATTTAAAACCAAATTCTAATTTCTTCTCAAACCCTTCCATTTCATTTTACCCTGTATATGAAATATGTTTATACAATTAAGAATAATTTCTTTAAGCAGCTTTCGGTTTATCTAAAAGTAACGAAATCTTTAACAGCCTTATAAAACTGAATATTTTTACAATGTAATTAATAATAAATCAGTTATTCTTTACTACTACTTTCCCCTTTATTTCGTCTCTCGCTAGAGTTAAATATCCATACTAGTTTTACGCCCATTTTTACCCATGAGATAATAATAGTCCAATTATATAGTACATTTAATTTTGTCCCCAACTGAAGTCTCAATTGAAGTGAGAAAATTACACGAGCTGTTCACCCAGTGATTAGGCTTAATTTGAAATAGGAAATCGTTCCAGAAGAGAAATAAGTAGACTATTTCTTTCCTTTGTTCTACATCCAGTAAATGGAGTTCGAATTTAAATCAGGGAGAATTTTAAGAATTTACTTAGTATGTAGTTTTGAATAATTGATTTGTTTTAAATGAAGGAATAAGGGCTTATATGTGTTAGGAGTTTCTGTATTAACTTTGTCTGTATTCAGTAGAGTCTCTGGCCAAATTACTAGACGCACTCTAAGATTTTATGTAAAATCTTAATTATCAGGTGATACTCTATACAGCTTTATTGTTTTTATGTGACTGTTTGCACTTGTTTACGTTCGTGTATCAATGGGTTAAATGAGACGATATATAATATAAATTCGGCGATTGGATAAATTAGACGATATATTATATAAATATAGACTATTTATTATATCAATCATTATTTTGGTATATTATAGTAATTAGACCCAATTATTAGACACACTGTAGTGTTTTAATAATTATTGGTTTTGCACGTGTTTATATAGAAGGCTTTTATGTTTAAACATACATGTAATGAGTTTTTATTCAGGAGATTTTTCATATACCTTCTTTTTTTAATTTATTTTTAACGTATTGCATTACAATGTTAACCAATCGATACACAAGCATGAAACAAGTGTGAACTGCTTTCAGTCACGTAAAAACAATAAAGCTGTATAGAGTATCACCTGATAATTGTAATTTTACATAGAATCTGAGAGTTCGTCGAATAATTTAACCAGGGACTGTATTTCTTTATAGAATAAATGAATAGACTGTATTCGAGTAGGTACTGTTTCTGTGTAGAATAATTTCCATAATCTTTTTTTTTTAATTAAAGCAATGGAATATAATTTATGAATGACTAAGATCACGTCCTTGGAAAGTTTTATCTAATGAAAAAAAATTCATATGCAACGGCGTCTATAAAAATATTAAAATTTAGTGAAATATTTGGAATTAAAATACATGTCGGTCAGACTGAATTTTATTCTGAATTTGTTCTGGATTTAGCATAAAATTCGTATTAACGGCTTCCTTGATTATCCCGAGATTACTCGGGTATGTGTATATAGCAAATATTTATTATCCCGAGTAAACTCGTGCATAGCAGAATTCGTCAGTACATTTTGTTTCATCACGTTTTTATACGGTCGGAAACAAAACAAAAGGAAAAAAATAATCTGCTGTGATTGGACGTTAGCCAATATTTGTTTGGGACGACTTGCTATTTGTGGGACTGCAAACGTGTTTTGTATAATTGTATATACAATGAATTTACATAGAAAAGAAAGAGTTAAAAAAAAATGGAGCTCGCCAGCGAAAGTGAAAGTAATGCAGATGAAATTTCAGATTAAGAAAATGTGAACCTATACAAAGACTCATATTTAACTTTTTTCATTTGACCGAGATCATTTTGGGATAGTAAACTGGTGGTCAATTAAATATTTTTTACGCATAAACAAAATAGAATGTCAACTTAGAGCGTGTGTTTTGTTTTTGTTCCTTGTATTTATTAATGAAATTAAAAAAAATAGGTTGATTTTTTGCATTTCAAAATAATTGGTTAGGGAAGCCGTTAATAGAATGGACGTAGCAAAAAAAAATGTACTCTTTCAATGTTTAATCCAAGTTTAACAACAAAAAGAATAAATTGGTACTTACTTTCTTTTTATAACTAATATATCAAGATTAATCCTTAAAGGTCCTGGTCGGTTTGCCTGGTTTTGGCTGGGATTACCAATGTAACTTTTTAGGCATTTCTTCATATTCAGCACGCTAAATGGTTAAGTGGTTTTAAAAAAAAAATCTAAATTCACATGACGTCAAATTAATACCACTGTTGCGTGTCTACCACTACAAAAATACAGTTCCAATTCAGTAATATAAGACATGTTAACTCGATTTTATGTCGAGGTACCTTTTCATAGATGAAGGTTTATATAGTCAATAACAACTATCACCCATTGGTGACCCGGACGTGATGTAAACATGCCTACCTTATCAGAAACTACCACTTCGATGTGAACACGCCTATCTTGGCAGGAACGCCCACTACGGTTTGTGCACGCCTACTTCGATAAATGTTCCATATTAAACAATTGACATGCAACTGTGACATTAACCACCTCCTCAGGCTGTTGCTACTCAGTCTCAATCACACTCAACGTCGGTCTGCATACACTCGACTGCTAATGGCAACACAGGAGCGCCCATGACCATGAACTTGATACAACTCTCACGACCAGCAGAAGTACCGTGATCTTAATACAGCTCTCCCGGCTTCTCATGAAGCAGCAATGAATCAACTAGTGGTATCCGTTCATCGAATTCTATCTGGAGAGGAAGTACTGTACAAAAATATAATTCCAAGTCACTAGTATGTCAAAACTCGATTCTATGTTAGGGTATCTTAAGAAGGTTGACCCCATGGATGAAAGCGAGACCGAAAAGCGAGGGACATTTCAGTTTCAGCTTGTTTTCAGGAGGGGTCAACAATATCTACTCTTTCCCAGGAGAGAAGCAGTTTTGTATGCATGCTATAATTGTAAAAAAAAAAATTCTCGGTAGTTACAGAAATGTTTCTCGAAAAAAAAATGCTAGAATGAAATGCCTTTCGTACCGTATATGCAGGCCCTTCCCCTATCAGCCATAATGTTTAGTAAACCAGTCCAAAAAAGATCATTTTTCATTATTATTTGTGATAGTTTTTATTGAATTTTACTTTAGATTTTGTTCCATTTAATTTTAACAGTTTTACGAGTAAGCAAATCTTTCTATAATGGAAAATAATGTCATTTTTGTAAAATAATTGGAATTCCTTTTTTTTCCATTTAAGTTCATGAAAGCCCAAGTTAAACCAACAAAGCCTTTCTGCCTGAATTACTTCAAGAACGATACAGAATATCAGAGACAGGATCATCAAAGTCTCAGCTCGTAATTTATTCTTTTTTATTACATTACTTACTTGATTTAGGTAGGCTGAACTCATTTAAAAGGTTAATTATTAGTGTTTATAATTGCGTTATCTTGGAAGCATTTCACTCTTTTTGCTGGCACCATTCTGTTAAAATTTAGATCGGAGTATTTTCTAGCAATAACGCTCAGGATTTTTCAAAAGAATTTCTGCAATTTTTTTATGCATTTTGTATCATTTTAAAATAGTAATTTAAAAAAAAATGCCTTTATATGAATCAACAACCGATCTTTTGTAACAATCAACTTTTTGAAAACACACTATTAAAACAAGCTAAAAATAAAATTCCACATTTCATTAAATTTCATATTTTTCCAAACAAAATATGAAACCTAAATCTTCCTTAGCTCAAATTACATTATTTAACACTCATACAAATACATCACTGAAGATTGCTTAAAAATTCATTACTGTTTATATTTATTACTGTTAGCAAGACGTTTACAGTTATGAAATTTCGTTAGAAATAAATATTGATTAGTTAAATATTTTGTTTTCTTCTTTTCAATAGTTAATATCTCTTGTTTCTTTTCTCACAAATTTCAATAGACTTTATCCAATAACTAACAAACATCTAAATCAGTAAAAGTAATTTAACTAATCAGTCATCTAAATCAGTAATTTAAACTTAAATCAAGGGATAGATGTTCTTTCTGTTGTAGTAAACCCACAGTCCCTGATAAAATTTTTCGACGCATTAAAAGATTTTATGTAAATTCTTAATTATAAGGTAATACTCTATACAGCTTTATTGTTTTTACACCGACTGTTTGCACTTGTTTACGTTAGTGTATCGATGGGTTAAATTTGACGATATATAACAGGGGTTTCCATCTTGCATGAGGCCGGGGGCCGCAACTTTTTCAAAATTTTATATAGGACTCTTTTATGTTTGAAGGAACATTAAATACTACTGTCAGATGCGCACGTGCTAAATAGTATTCACAAAATACAAAAAAAGCGGAATAAAAAAAGCAACATTATTTTTGTATCGGATTAAATATTTTCTTGGATACAAAACCTGCGAAATAATTAATTTTGCACCGTCGGTATGTTAAATTTCACAGAAACGAAGAAATTAGGTTCTTTCTTAACGAAAGAAAAGTATTTTAAATCCATATAGATTTGTATATAGATAATTGTCCGCAAAATGACAACTAATATATTTTAGTTCGCGAGCCACAAATAAAGGTTTCGCGTGGAGCAGTATGCGGCCCGTGGGCCGCCAGTTGGTAACCACTGATATATAATAAAAATTCGACGATGGGATAAATTGGACGATATATTTTATAAATATAGAATATTTATTACATCAAGCATTATATTAGTATGTTATAATAATTAGATAAAAATTATTAGACGCACTGTAGTTTTTTTTTTTTTNTGATACGATATATAACAGGGGTTTCAACTTTTTCAAAATTTTATATAGGACTCTTTTATGTTTGAAGGAACATTAAATATTACTGTCAGATGCGCACGTGCTAAATAGTATTCACAAAATACAAAAAAAGCGGAATAAAAAAAGCAACATTATTTTTGTATTGGATTAAATATTTTCTTGAATACAAAACCTGAGAAATAATTATTTTTGCACCGTTGGTATGTTAAATTTCACAGAAACGAAGAAATTAGGTTTTTTCTTAACGAAAGAAAAGTATTTTAAATCCATATAGATTTCATACGAAAATTGTCCGCAAAATGACAACTAATATATTTTAGTTCGCGAGCCACAGAAAAAGGTTTCGCGTGGAGCCGGATGCGGCCCGTGAGCCGCCAGTTGGTAACCACTGATATATATTAAAAATTCGACGATGGGATAAATAGGACGATATATTTTATAAATATAGAATATTTATTATATTATAACGTAAACAAGTTCAAACCGGTTTCAATCACGTAAAAACAATAATGCTGTGTATAGAGTATCACCTGATAATTAATATTTTACATAGAATCTGATAGGGCGTCTAATAAAATGCCCAGGGTCTGCCTTCTGTTTTTCATTAAATATTTGTTTGTAATTTTATTTTTCCTTCTAGTCTTAGCACAGCTAAGCTCAAAGTCTTCTACAGAAATCTTCAAAAAACAACTTACAAACAGGAGCCAATGTTTCAAGTAATTCATTACGTCGTTCATTTTTTAAATGTTAATTATTTGTTCAATTATACTATTAGCTATGAAATGCTATGAGACTCAATGGCTTTCAACATTTTATTCCATTTTTTTTCCTTAGAAAATTAGTTATTTTTGTAATTCACTGAAACTTATATGACGGAATTAAACAATAAGCATGCGCTTCAAAAATTTGTAATAATTTATTCACCATAAAGTTGAGTATAATAATTACATATAGCATTCTATTCTTTACTCAATATCTTGAAAGCTACAATTGATGTTTTTAAATTTAAGAACAAAGCGGAGAAAAAAAATCAGCTAACAATTAATTAGGGTTCAAATGTAAGGAAGTGCAAAAGAAAAATACTAAAATAAGCCATGTATTACTTTTATTTATACATTGTGGTTTTTTAAAATAGTATTGAATTAATTTAACTAAGCTGAGAATCACATTTAAAACCATAAACATCTTTATCACTCGAAAAACTTTGCCAGAGACCTTTGAATTATGGTTTTATATTTAGTTCTAGTCACTTAGAAAGTGAAAAAGGAAAAAAACACACAGTTTTACGCAACCAAGTGACTTCTAGCTATGAGTAAAGATATCAAAACGTAAAGAATAAGAAATACGATTCACTACAAAATGAAGAAATCGTAAAATAATCACGACAAATGACGCAATTTCTCAGACATATTTAATTGCAGCTCAGACACATTCTGTGCTAATTTTTTTGATGACTGAATAGACATTGAACAGCCAATAGAGATCAATATTAACATTTCCGGTTTGATACAATGGTGTTTGAGGGAGATTGTCAGCTGCATCGATCATACACTCGTTTCGGATTCACAATTTCATACATGAAATGTGATTTGAAAGCTAGGCTTTTTTTCTTAATTTTACATGAATAGTGACTGAATCATTTATATTGCGTGGAAAAGAGTCTACGGTCTTGTGCAAGTTATTGGGTACATTAAAAATGGATCCTTTTATCCCTAACTGGTGATCAACACACAGTTCTCGTATTTGCATGAAAGGGGTTCGGAGAGACACCATTCGCTCTTCGGTAGGGTTTACAATTTCTGGCAAGTGACAACTCCTCAACCCGTAAGTCAACATCGTAATACTAAAACTGATTACTCTAGTTATCTATGACTTGTAGCGTCATCTGTTTATATATTTTGCAATTAAATTCCAAAATTTCTGCATAGATATTTACAGCTTTCACAATTAACACAACAGTTTATCACCTTTTATTTCGGAGATTTTGAAATCTGTTGGTCCTCTGAAGTGTATGTGACATTTTGTGTGGTAATATGTAATAATTTATATTCCTTTTCAGGACTCGGAACTTTTTAGCCAACTTGGCGGTCAAATGGGGCTGTGGTTGGGAATTTCTATTGTCGCTCTATTTGAGTGCATAGAAAATGTTTCTCACCTATTACACTATTGCATCAAGAAGACAGTCAAGAAGAGTTCTGAAATGAAAAGCACGAAAAAATATGACTTACCTAACACCTCTTATCTATAAAAGCCATATATCTCTTAACTATTAAAATGCTGTTAAAAAAATATTTGATCCTATTTACGTCAAAATATTCTGTAAAAAGGTCAGCTTTTTGTTATATTTATTACTTTAAATCATAAAAATTTTACATTTAAGTAATACAATTGAAATTGAATTTAAAAAAACATTTGAAACTTTTTAGAATCTCTTAATTTTGTCTGAATAATGTGCATAAATAAATAAAACTCTTTGCAAATTTTTTGATTCATTCTTAGTTTATTGTAATATGAAGAAAAAATCATTATTTTAATCAATTAAGGAAGACTGTTTGGTAAGTTGGTTGGTAACATGCTCTTTATATATAATTGCAATTTAAACCAGTTTATGCAGCTCACAAGTATGGTGCACAATGCAGAAAAATCACATTTCGAGGAAAAAATTAAAATTCATTTTTAATGATATTTGCGCAGAAAGCTATCGAAGCAGGATATTTAATATATATATGGGTCATTCTCACGAAAACTGTCATTTTTCAGTTCATAAAATCCCNTTATTATTATTATTATTATTATGAAATATTCTTCGATAGCTTAGCTGTTATAACCTGATTAAAAAACTTCAAAAAGATATATGCAACATGTTTTAAGGGCTTCAAAAATAAGCACCCATTTCCAAGACTGCCCGACGTGAGTGTGAAGATTTGAAATAGAAAATAAAACGTTGCCAACAGAGAAAGGTAAAAATAACGGTAAGAATCAAGACAAATTTTGTTTCTCACCGTTATTTTTCTAATTTTTGTTGGCAACTTTACTCTTTCTATTTCAAACCACTTTTGTTTCTTCACACTTACGTCTGGGAAGTCTTAAAAATGGTTACCTATTTTTGAAGCCCTTAAAACATGTCGACTGTAAATTTTGAAGCGAATAAAGATTTTAATCAAGTGTTCAAAGATTTTTATCAAAATGTTATATCAAGCATGGGAGATGAATCTTTAATAAAAATAGGTAGGTCTTTATTTACGTCCCACTAGAGCTGTGCCATTGTCGATTGTCTGGGAAGCATGGCTCTGAAGATGATCCGAAAACATACCATCGCAATTTTTACCCTCTGCAGAGGGGATGCTTTGGTACTCCGACTACCTGCGCGCAAAATTGAGCACTTTAAGCTAGAACAGTTTAACGAGGGTGGATACCGCCCACCCTCGGACACTACACAGACTGATCAAAGTGGTCACTAACCTACTGACAGCAGCCAGTGATGTTTGACTTCGGTATTCTACTGGGAACCATGTCCTTACGATCTGTCCACTGCGGGACTAATAAAAATAGATCTTATTATTTTTAGATATAATTTTCTTTAGGAAGTGATTATTTTTCTGAAGAGAGAATAATATTTGCATACAGTCCCTGGCCAAATTATTAGACGTACTGTATCTTGCATCCATTAGTTAACACTGTTATGCCATACGTTAAAAAAATAATCTCATAATTTGATCTAATTATTATAATATAATACGTGATATACTAAATATTCCATATCTATATAATAATATCGACTAATTTATCCAGTCGTCGAATTTATATTATATATCGTCGAATATATCAATCGTCGAATTTATATAATAATATCGTCTAATTTATCCAATCGTCGAATTTATATTATATATCGTGTCTAATTTATCCAATTCTCGAATTTATATAATATATCGTGTCTAATTTATCCAGTCGTCAAATTTATATTATATATCGTCGAATATATCAATCGTCGAATTTATATAATATATCGTGTCTAATTTATCCAGTCGTCGAATTTATATTATATATCGTCTAATATATCAATCGTCGAATTTATATAATATATCGTGTCTAATTTATCCAATTCTTGAATTTATATTATATATCGTGTCTAATTTCAGCAATTGATACACGAAGATTAACAAGTGCAAACTGTCTCGTCAAAACAATACAGTTGTATAGAGTATGACCTGATAATTAAGATTTCACATAGAATCTTTAGAGTGGGTCTCATAAGGGAGTGTAGTAGTGATCAATATAGACTATCCAAATTAAAAATCACTATAGTTGGTGAGAGTAACAACAGTCTCCCAAAGTGAGTTTGTGCTCATTTTAAATAACCCGTTTAGTCTCACTTTAAAATACATGAATAAACAATCTCCCTCGAGAATTCTGTAGTATTTAAAGCCGGAGAGTTAAGGGAGGATGAATAATGGAGGTCGAGTCATCGGGAAGAATTCCTGGAGTCTAAATTAAAACTCTTTCGGGTAGTTAGTTTTCGTTAAACACTGCACACTTTTATCAGAGATCAATATTCGTATCTTCGCTTTAATGGAGATGACAGTGAAGATGATATCGTATCTATCGATTTAATGAATGGAATTTTTGCACTTTTCTTAACTCTGGATTCTCTCTTAAACATTGTTTTTCGTTTTATCGCTTCATTTTNTTTACACCACATGGCTTTAGCCCTCTGGTGGGAAAGACTTTAAAACAAAACTTACAACAGTTACTTTTCTCTACTACTGAAATTTAGAATAGTGTGATTAATAAAAATATGTGAACTTTTTGCAATTTCAAATTAATATTGAAATGCATAGGTTTAGAATTTCCTACAGTTAAAGTTTTCGGAGCTTCAGTGTTCAAAAATGTATACAAAAGCTAGACGTTAAGAACGTATCCAATGCGCGAGCAAAGCGCCGAAATGAACTGCGAAGGCAGTTCCGGGGGTTGGCAAGCGCCAGCGAGCATGGGGCGAAGCCTCCTAGTAATAAATATTCTGTATTTATATAACATATCGTCTCATTTAACCCATTGATAGACTAACGTGCAAACAGTCGCATAAAAACAATGTTTTGTTTCGGAATGGACAGCCGAAACCAATCACACTGATTTTGCCTATTCATTGTTATTCATTTATTCTCTTTGTAAATAGAATATAACTTGTCTAAAGTAAGAACTCCCCCAACCATTCATCTGGACTGGTGGCGGTGACTGTGGTGACGAGATATAACTATCTCAAATTAGGGGTGTGGGGTCTGCGAAAAAAAGGGAATCTTTTTCTTGGGTCTGTTGTGTTAGCTCTAGAGTGAAGAGAAGCTACCCTCTCTTAAATGTGATATTCTTGTTTCCATAACAGAAGTCGGCCTCAGGCTTTACGCCGGGGTGAGTTCCTACAGTATGTGTGTCTCAAGGTTTCGCTCTCTTCACCTTTCAGATACCACGGAGAAAGAGTTTCTCTATAAAGAACGAATAGGGAATATAGTAATATTTAGGAAAATCATGCTAATTAGGAAAAGCTTGAAGAGTGGGGAAATCACGTAACATTGAGGCGCCTATTCTATTTACAAGGAGTATAGTTAAGGGAAATAGATAATATAAATTTGGTTAAAACTCAGTAAATTTTTCTTTATCAATGAAAAATTTATAGTTTTGATGACCTATCACAGGAATATACAGCCCCTTGACCAGATTATTAAACTCACTATAAGATTCTAATAAAAATCTTAATTTTCAGATGATACTCTATACAGCTGCATTGTTTTTATGTGACTGTTTGCACTTGTTTACGTGAGTGTATCAATGGGTTAACATTGTATTAAAACTCGTTAAAAATAAATGCAAATAAGAAGTCTATGGAAAATCTCCTAAATAAATACCCATTACATGTATCTTTAAATATAAAAGTATTGCTTATAAACTCGTGCAAAAGATGCCATTAATTAAAAACTGCAGTGCGTCTAATAATTAAGTCAAATTATTGTAATATACCAGTATAATACCTGATATAATAATTATTCTACATCATCTAATGTATCTAACTGTTGAATTTATATTATATAAGGTCTCATTTAACCCATTGATACACTAACGTAAACAAGTGCAAACAGTCGGGTAAAAACAATACAGATGTATAGACTATCACTTGATAATTAAGATATAACATAGAATCTTAGAGTGCGTCTAATAATTTGGCCACGGACTGTATAGCGGAATGTGTGCGTAAGAGCGGCAGCAGAGTGTTGAAATTCAGTAATTTATTTATCATGAGTTAAACATTTATTACAAAAGACGATATTTGATGCATTTATTTTTAAAATGGTTAAAAAAAATCGGATTTCCTCCCTTGCGCAACATAAGTAGGAAAAAGTAAACTCCAAGGGGAAAAACGAGAGAATACCATTCGGCAAGCTGGTCAAAAGTTAGATCTGCTGTGTGCTGACCAATACGTCCTAGAAAACAGAAGGCCTCGGCACGGGTTACAGTAAACAGAAATTGGGTCCTTCAGTAATCCAAACATCATTCGTATTTACCACCACTGCGTTGCTTAGTAGCCCGTAGGTAGTGACATCTTTCTCATTTTGCATCCACTGCGCAGTTTATGTTCGTTACATCGGACTACTAAATAGGCTGAGGCCGTCTTTATTCTAGGAGGTGTTGTTCTGACCCGCTGAGATAGCAGTCTAAGCTGAGGACATTATGTACAACTAGGCACTAAGGAGATTCTCAACATTTAGGGAGATTAACATTTTTCTCAACATGTGTTCGTCTCATTTTTTTACGATAACTGGAATTTAATTGTATGTCATCTAGTCTCTTAAACAGTAAGTATTTGGATTTTGGCACATTCATTTTCCTCTCGTGCGTATGCAATCATTTTTGCCGAAAGAGTGATTTCAGTTTAACTGATGACAATTAACTGCTATATCGTTTACCTATCAGAGTGTGACGAGCACGTTGGAACTTTTCCGTGAATCAACGAACGGACATGGTATATGGACGGTTGTTGTTGCATGGCAGGAGATCGTAATCATTGCTGCATCGAAGCATTGCTGCATCGTAAGCAATTCTGATACACATAGGCACTGAAATGGCCATCTTATTAGACGCAGTCAATGGGTTAACTTTGTAATGCAATACATTGAAAATACATACACATAGGAAGTATATAAAAAAGCTTCTGAATAAAAACCCATTACATGCATGTTTAACTATAAAAGTATTGCCTATAGACTCGTGCAAAACACGCCATTATTAAAACACTACAATACGCCTTATAATTTGATCTAATCATTATCTTATAATACCTG